GCTTGTTTATCTCTGTCTCAGGCAAGAAATGAGTAAAGAACGTTGAAATAACCATCTCGCATCATGAAAATCCCCTGGAGTTTACATAATGTGTGTAGAAGCATAGGTGTTGGCCACGCAGATATAGGAAATGCGCTTACATCATGTAAGGTTTCCAGGAACCGATCAGTTTGATCTGCCTTTTGATGCATGGGTCCTTTGCCATGCTGTTATATAATTCCTCGAGACAGCGTTAAGAAAAAGAAAAATCATATCTGGAATTTTTTTCTTCAAAATACTTTTCTCTGTCTGCCCGGTCATTCACAATGTTAATGGACATGAGGCTTGTTAATGAGTAGAAAGTGTTTCTCCTCCTTAGATCAGTCTTTCTCAAACTTCACAATCCTGCAGCCCAGTTAGAAATCTCAATAAACCCACCAGACTAGTTGCGTTTTAGCAGTTTTAGTTTGATCTTTAACTGGCTTGCTTGTTGAGAGCGATTCTTCGTTAGCATCTTTCCTCTCCCCTTATTATAGCCCCCATTTTTAGCTCTTTCCCTGTCAATGCTCACAAAATACACACACACACACACTTGTAGATCACACAAGAGCAATGACGGATAATGTGTAACAAAAACCCCAGGCCTTTGTTTTATTAGTTCTGAAAGTAACAACTGTATCAGTTATATTTGATTGTAACTTTTATCTTAAACCGTTTTATCCATTTGCAGCAAATGATGTCTTGCAGCCAACCTGCAGCAGCTTTAAGAGAGCACGCTGTGAGAACCAATGGGCTTAGAGCATTTGCTTTTTGCTGAGGTTTAGATAACAATCAGTGAAACCACTCTGGTAGGTCGAGGCTATACATGCCAGAGTCTTGCTTGGCAAGGCCAAAGATGAGGAAATAGTCACCTTGACTCAATGAACTTTTGAAAAAAAAAAAAAAAAAAAGTCAAGCTCTTATATATATATCTCAGCTAATGTGCTGGATGATGGCCCCATGTTTTGTATGAACAGAAAACAAGCTAAACATGATGATGATTGGCCTTTACGGATGCAAAGGGATGGCCTTTTCTTTTGGACTTTTAAAATGAAGCCGGCTATTTCTAACACTCCGTTTCCCAACACTGGCTAATCGTTACAGCCATTGTAAGCACAAGCCAAGAGGAATTCCTAGAATTGACACAATCTTCCCCTCACCCTCAACCAGTCCCAGCAGATGCCTGTCCCTCCCTAAGCCTGGTTCTGCTGGAGGTTTCTTCCTGTTAAAAGGGAGTTTTTCCTTCCTACTGTCTCCCAGTGCTTGCTCAAAGGGGGTAATTTGATTATTAGGGTTTTCTCTGAACTACTACAGCATCTTTACTTTACAATATTAAGCACCTTGAGGTGACTGCTTTTTCGATTTGGTGCTATATAAATACAATTGAACTGAATTGAGCTGAAACCCTAAAAAAAAAGTGAAGAAATCAAAGTGGGTTTCTACATCTTGCCCAATGTCGTGAAATCATCAGGTAAGTCAAGTTGTGATTTAGCAGTAATTGCTTGCACATGTTATCTTTGGAAAAGGGAGGGAGTGAGGGTGGGCTGTGTTGTGAAAACGACCCGCCTCGGATTGCTGTCTTTTTCCACTGGCCCCTCCCAGGATTCGGTCCCGACTGTTAAGACATGAAGAGCACATGCAGGACAGGTCATCACTACAGTGGAGGGGGGTGCTTTCCCCCTCGCTTATTACCTTGCGCTCTAATTAGCAAGCTTTGTTTACAGGCAGGAGTCTTGAGAGAGGCTTGAAGTTTGCAGCAATTTAATTATGCGCAGCACACAGTGAAAGAGCATGGAAAATTGTGTGTGTGTGTGTGTGTGTGTGTGTGTGTGTGTGTGTGTGTGTGTGTGTGTGTGTGTGTGTGTGCAGGGTGGGGGGGTGCGAGGATAAATGCCATCCACGGTGCTCTCTCGCTGGCTCTCCCTCTCTCAGTCTGGTCTACTCCTGTGCGAGTGTGTGATTCTGTTGGGTTTATGCATGCGACTGTGCGCGCGCACGTCACCCTCTGAATTACAGGTTCAACTTTCACAGCAAGTCTAATGTACCCTCAGTGGGAGTCTGAGAATCTGACAAAATTGCTCTAATCCTTTTCAATCCTTTTTTTTTGCTACTGTCTCCAGTTATAATGAAGCACTTTCAAAGAGAATTTAGGGTCGGAGGTTTTCGGGGTGGTGGTGGTGGGGTGGCTCAAAAAAAGTTCGAGATACTGTAAGCGAAAACATACAAGTGGTCTCGCCACACAAGCCTCCCTACAAGGCTACGCAGCTTTAATGAATTTTGAACGGCCCAGCGCCACAAGTGAAGTGAAAAAGTGCATCCACTATGAAGTACCATCAAGGAAAAAAAATCAGATTCTCCATCCTATTTGAGAATGTGATCCCATGACCGTTTCAGAAACACATCCTCGTCATACTTCTTGGTACTCCGTAATTCTCTGCCATGGCTACGTGCTTCTATTCATGCTGAAAATACTTGGAACAATCAAATGTGCACATGCTCCCTTTCGGTTTTTTTTTTTTCTCTACTCAAGAACAAATGCACACACACATGCACAGTCTCTCTCTGTCACACACACACACAGACACACACATATACACAACACAAGCACGACATTCATGCCATGTGATCTTGCTAGGCATTATGCCAACGGCCAAACATGTCACTTACAAGAAATCTCTGAGACACAGAGAGGGAGAGAGGGAGAAATTGTGCACATTTGTCAGTTTGTGAGAGCTCCTTGTCAAGTGTAAGTACAGTGCATACACAGGGAGCAGGAGATTTAGCTGCTACAGTTATCTGCAAGTGTAGTGCGGTGTGGGGGCAGTCGATTCTGAGAAAAAACCAGACACGTGATCTCTGAGATCTAATGTGGAATTGTTCTAAGGAACATGCCATGTTTACTGTTCATTGTCTAAATTCTTGGAAGGCTTCCTGAAAAGCAGTTAGTGAGCCAGAGCAGCCCAAATCACTAACATTTCAAGATTCCTAATGGCTTTCGCTGATCCTCTCTCCCTCTCATTTGGTCCCGCATTATTTCGCCCTGTGCGAACATGCATGTTGTGTAATTTCACAGGAAATGACAATAGGTGTGGAAAAATGTTCTCAGCTGCATTATTACTTCTGTGTGCACTTTGAGAATAACAAAATAAATTTAGTACAGTAATAGAGCACAAAAGAAAAACAAAAGAAAGAAAAACGCCACACATACCTCCAGAAGATATATATTATCCGTCAATCTGTTTTCCTCGAGAGAGAGGCAGGAAGGTTGCCAAACCTACTGGTGTTTTCCAAGAAAAAAACTTGGCCTCATTACATATGAAATGAGCAGGAGATTCGAGGAACTGCCCAACCCTGTTTAGTGGGTTTGGCAAATACCTTTTGTGCTGCAAACGTGTGGCACTCTAATAGTTGAGCTGTAAAACAGCAGCGGTGAAGCAAGACAAGAAATGTGAACCTTCTTGTGCCCACTTTAGCATGAAGTCTAAAGGTCTTCACATGCACTGGGAGCGAACATAACGAGTAAAACAACTTAAGCAAACACCTTTTGTAGCTAACAGCAAACACACCATAATGTATGAAACTCCCAACTTCACTCTCTCCCCGATGAGGAAGTATGCGGACAAAGCCTGGTCACTGGGGCCAACAAATTTGCTTAGCATTTACCTGCTTTTCGTGAACTCAGAATGTATACTTCTAGTGTTTATTTGTGTCATTCGAGTCTGCGCTGACTGTGACGGCACGTTTTACTCTCACTATCTGCGCTAGTTGCGCACATTACATAAACCCTGGCTCCATCGCCTTGCTGCCATTCTGTTTAATCCCTAAAAGAGAACATAACCCGCTTTCTTTTTAGCAAAAATAAGTTGTCACATACACATGTGTTTACATACCCACAAGCTATGAAGAAGAAAAAAAATCCTGTCCCTCGTGCTTCTTTCCTTTAAATTAGGAGTGCCTGTGAATGAGCCGTGTTGTTTTCCAGCCGGTCGTGATGTCAAAACGGGCTAGGCTGTTACACGTCTTTGATGGAAGTTTCACATCTTATGGTGTCATCTGATCCAGAGTGGCAATACAATCAGTGCATTTAGCAGATCGCACCGGCGTGTCTGAACAAAGTTCACACTACGTATACACGTAGCTTTACAAATCATACATGCCCTGCCTGTATTTTTAGAATTTCCACGTCTTTCCCCAATTCCTGTTTTTACAGGCTTACTTTTATTATTTGCTTTGACTTAATCACCCATGCTGCTTTTGACAGCTGTATCAGGGCAGAGCTAAAAACCAGAGGGATGGCACACTGAATGAGCGAGTTACCATGTGGCAGTTGCCTGTGCAGAAGTCAGCGAATGCTAAGTTTCCTCTACTGTATTTAAATTGTTTAGCCGTACAGCACATTTTATGCCGTCATCGTAGCTGAGGTATAATTTGCATTTGGAGTGTGCAACGTTAATTGAGGCTCTACATTTGAAAGCAGGAGCCTGCTAAGGTCCGGCAGCATCAAGGGTGAAATCTTAAGTCAGACAATGAGGAAGGGGTGCAGTCTAACATAAGATGCATCTAACTACCAACAATTTTACAGGCGATTCCTTTCCTGAGCAAGTATGGATAAAACTTACCAAACAGATAGGGAATCTGAACAAAAACCAAAAAAGGGGGGGATTAACCGGCCCCTAAATAGACCACTGCTTTCCCTTACTGAATCAGTGTGAGGGACTGCTTATTTTAAAGCACTTACTATTAGCATAAGGACATTATTTTCCTCACTTACCCTCTACATGCACATCTAGTTGGCAAGAAACACCAAAGTCAATTTTACAGTGTTAGCAGTACTGGGTTAGGGAGGAAGGAGTCATTTTTACTCCAGTATTCTTTAGAAACACCACAAAAAGGAGAAACTACATGGCAAAAATATTTGCATGTTCCCCAGAAAGATCCAAATACAAGCATGAATGTTAAAGTCTGAGCACAAACAAGCTTACCTCCAGATTTAATTCATGTCACCATGTGCTGGTGTATGTAGATAAATTCAGCTAAAGGAAAAATGTATATGTGACCACCCGATGCGTATCTTTCCCAGAATTCCTGAACGCTTACTAGAAATGCCATGTCTTCACAGTTACTCTTAACTGTTTAAACCTCAGTTCCATGAACAGCAGCCTACATGCCTGAACATACCAGTAGGAGCAGGTTTTTTTCGTCCATCAGGGTTTAACTCGAACAAGTAGCATGTGTGTTACCAAGAAAGCACAGAAGTAACCTATGAGAATACAATGTATGACTGTTGGTATCGCATACCATCAGCAATGACTCATGCTTGTCTCAGGAAAGGAAAATCATAGACACATAAACACACTCCCCACACAAGTTTACACGCATATACAGAGGAAAGTGCGCCAAGCATGAGGGTGAACACACGCACACGCACACAGTAAATGAAGCCGCACTAGAGATGGTTGCTGATTTTTCATGTAGTCGACAGTGCCCTTGTTTAGTTTTTCTTTAATAAAGCCAGGGTACAAATCTGCAGTTAAGATGATCTTTAAAGCCAGCAGCTGCAGAGTTTGATAACTAGCGTGCTACTGTAAATTACATTTGGGATTAACCCTACTTAAATATTTGCTGTGTAAGAAATAACAGGGGAAATCACCTCCAGGTGGCTTTCTACGACTGCTTTACACACTGATCAAGTGATGAAGTTAACGCCACCCCCAAATCTCTTGCAAATCTACAGAAGAATTTACTGGGAATGTCTACTTTGCTGCAGAGGACCTTTTAATTTAAAGGTCTGACAAGCGATGAGGAAACAATCTCACCGTTTCCCCTCTCCTTCGGCCTTTTCTGTGCCAGCGTGTCCACATCAGTTTTATTTATTGAATCTCTCTCGCTGTCTCCTTGACACTCCCTACCCGCACAGCCCCCGGCCCCCTTGTGGAATGCTGTATAGAGAGAGGCCTATGGAGGAAGGGCATCCCGGGACACAGCTAGAGCACACACAGAGGCACACACATACATACACTAACCCACTCACTGACACACACAAATACATACACTCTCTCTCTCTCTCACACACACACACACACACGCATGCACACATACACACAGACAAATACAGCTGTTGAGAGCCATCAGAACCCTTTGGCAGATGCCCAAATCAAAGACCACTGGTGTCGGAGGGCCTCCGTTCACAGAGAAATAGAGAACGGGGGGGGGGAAGGCTCCCATTTTCCATGTATGTTATCTTAAAGGCTGGACATAAAAACTTGTCAGCGTGAGCTAACATTACTGTGAACCGATTTCCTCGTAATGAAGGGAGGGTATGATGAACTGCCCTCATAAAAATCTGTCTCTGTGTTGTCTTAGGGCAACCAGGTACACCTATGGATGCATAATGATTTAAAAGGGCAGCTTAAAATTTGTGCAATGCACCTTCACACCTTCTTATATCCACAGGTTATATATTTATATATACACAGAAACAGATGGGTGTTAAAACATAAAGTTACACTGCAGTTTGAAAGGGTTCATTCACCTAATAACCCCACCTGAGTGTCACCTGTTGAGGACATGGAAGCTTAATATGAAGTAGGCTGCATTGCTTAACTTGTTGCCATGTTACCATAAAAGTAAGATAAAATGTATCTAAGATTTTTTAAAAGAAGAAAAAAGCATTTTGTCTTCTTAAGAAACAAGCAATTGACTCACCAGTGGACTAGACAATAATAATTACAGCGACAGAGAGAAAGCGTGTGTACTGGGGGAGGAAAAGTGACAGGAAATGAAGAAAACCACCACAAGCTACATGCCGGGTAGCCACACACTGCACCCATGTACACAAGGAGAAGAGAGAGAAGAGGGGGGTGGTGTTGTTTTGTATGTATAGCCAGATGGCTCCTGCTGGGGGTTCAAGTAAGGTAAATGGAACCACGGCTGACGGATTTGATTCAACAGCATGCACAAATAACATATAAACATATATTTTTTTTCAATCCATATATGCCAAACATAAACTTCAGAGCCCCCTCATCCCCACCTTTTTTAACAGCCATGTACTTTTCTAAGCTAGCCAGTCAGTCAGCCAAAGAGGCCAAGTGTTAAAACCAGACTGTACCCGAAAAATAAACCCCCAAAAAGAAAACCTTGAAACAACAGTCATGAAAATGTAAGCTGATATCCTATAGATTTTTTCTTTAGCGACTACAACCAATAAAATCATGTCTGCAACACCAGTACCTCGATCCGTCCTGTGCTTCTCAAATCTATAGCATTACAATAGATGCATTATGGGTGGAGATTTATCTTTTTTCCTTTTTTTTTTCTTTTTTTTATCTCATCGTGACGCAAGACCGATAATAGCTTGCCACTTTCACCACTCAGTACAGTTGAAACTAATGACAACACCAGTTCCTGTGGTTAAAAGCAATGGCCAAAATTATCATTAGACTGCAAATTTTGGGTGGGTTTTTTGGGGGGGGGAGGGAGGTGTAGAAGAGGTTAGGGTGAAAAACTACAACTACTATCAACCTGATTAAATTCCTTCAGAGGCGCGTGGTACTGTTACACATTTTCCGACTGAAGTTTAAGGCGCTAACTTAGTTTTAGGTGGCCGAAATAACTGAAATTCCGACTGGCAGAAATAAATAGATAAAATATTTTTTAAATGTAGCTATGAAGTGAGAGGGGGAAACGAGGGAGTACTGCATGGTAAAACCTATGCGTCATACGAATCAGGCTCAGTAAATATAAAGCCAAGAGAGAGAGAGAGAGAGAGACACACACACAGAAAGGGGGGGGGGGGGTGTATATTTACCCGATGCGTCGCTATTCCATAAAATCAGCTGGCCCAGATGTGGCAGGCTTTTTCTTCTTATAGCCTATAAAGTTTGGAAGGCGTTTGTTTTTTGTTTTGTTTTTTAAAAAGAAGAAGAAGAAGAAGAAGAAGCAGGCCCCGGTTTCCTTTCGTCCGCTGGCTCACTCTTTCACTTTATCTCCGGCCGCTCGTTCCCCATCTCTATCCCACTCTCTCTTTCTCTGCCCGCTTCTGTCCCTTTGCAGGAAGTAAACGCAGCTCACATGAACAGTATACGGACTGCATTCAGCCTGACATCATGCAGCACTCGGCAAATAGTTCTTTTTAAAGACACAGACATTTTTGGACCCGCCAGGTTACTGTAGGTACTCTGTCCTACTGTAGTCTACGCGGCAAACGGGCAGTCGGCAGCAGCGGTCGGTCATATCGTGCGCCTTTACGGACACATGAACTCGCTGCACTCTGCGGGCTTTAAAGGTGTAGACTGCTGCGGAACACTTTTTAACGAGATCACCGGACAGGTTCGCGCGCCTCCACCCCGCCACTAACGTGTTCCTGAAAAGACAACACACTTGGGAGCACATTTGGGGGGCTATAAGTAGGGCAGGGGAGGGTTGCACGGCTCAGTGAGACCCCATTCGGTGTCGTCTACATGTGTGGTTACTTCACGTGTCATTATGCGATGACAGTCCGGGCTACATGATGCGCATGTGTGCCGTTCTGCTAAATTATAAGCGCCAACTGCTGGCGGTGTGACCTCAAGTCAACTTTTCTTTACTGCAGGCCTGTATCACGGTGTCACAGCACGATAAATCACTGCAGGAGCCTCCAGTCTACCACATGAAATCGCCATATTCGTTTATTTAGATTTTTTTTCACAATGTTATATTATATTTACCTTGTTGATTTGAGTTATTTTATGATCGTCCAATCACATTTTTACTTTTCACTTGTAAATTTACACACTGCAATAGCAATTAAAATCAGTGATTTTACCGGGCATTTTAGTGATTTTAACTGTAGTTTATACATACACACATATATCAGGGATGTCAAACATAAGGCACAGGGGCTAGAACTGGCCTGGCACAGACTACAATCCGGCCCACTAGACTTCTTTAGAAAATGCAAAGGACTGCATAGATTTTGAATTTTTAACTGTATTTTCACAAGTTTTACAGTTTTTCCTAATGATAAAGACCCCAGACCGATTGCAAAGGATATTTTCTGTGAGTTAATGAAAACTTTATATATTAATTTATAATTACAGGATAGTATAATTAGTCTGTGCAGTGATCTACCAGAACCCTTTATGTGGAAAGGGATGAGTTTTCTTTCACATTTTATTTTTAGACACACACACACACACACACACACACACACACACACACACACACACACACACACACA